GCGGCATATATATATATATATATATATAAGATAGAGAGAAAGATCTCTACCAACTTCTCCATAAGCCTTGACCCTATTTTTTTAAATTGAGTTGTATGATTCAATACATATTTATCAATTTTACATGATATCTATATAAAATAATTGTGAAAGAGAAGGCGATGGCCCTGCTCTTAACATGAAGTTGTATGATTCAATATGATTATTTTTTTATACTTTTAATTCGGTCTTTGTATTCTTATAAACATTAAAAAAATAAAAAAACTCATTAAATATATGGAGTGAACTTGGTATTCCTCTAATAATTACTTGTGGATTACTTGTATTAAAATATTAAATAAGAAATATATCTATCCCCAAACCCCACCAATTACTATGTGCGGCTTTGGCTCTACCCATATCTTGTTTTAATTTGCGCATTTATACCAACCTGAATACACTTGGTCATTGGTGGGGTTTGGGGATAGAAGGAAGCAATTTAAATATAAATAGAACAAATAATAATAGTAATATGTATCTACATTTATCTACATATCTAACACCTAAATTATACTTTTTACATTTATATCATCCAAATCATTCATATCGCATAAAAATTTCATTATTTTAATTTTTAAAAATAAAATACATCCTCTCATGTAACCTTCCAAAAAGAAAGGGCTTTTATGCACATACCATCTAATTCCTATATATTTAACTATCTAGCACAGAAATGTTATTTTATATTTATACCACCCAAAATTTTACTTTTACATATCAATATTAAAATTTAATGTTATATATGTAAATGCATAGGAATTGAGGGGTATATATGTAAATCTTTCAATTAATTATCATCAAGAAATTTTCACATTGAACCGACAAAACCGTAATAAGTTAAACGTGGTGATGTTTTTCTTTGGGCTTACTTCGATTGCTGAATATGAACGATAATGAAATCAAAATTGATGTGAGTTGGCGGAAAAATTAGGAAAAAAAAAAAAAAAAAATGCAAGAATCAACACAAATCAAAAAGAAAACACACAGATTTAACGAGGTTCGGCAATTTGCCTACGTTCTCGGGAGCAGAGCGGCGACTTCTTTGGATTTCACGAAAATAAGTACAAATCCCCTTTAAGGTTACAATACACACACACGCGCACATAAATATATATATATATATATATATATAACTCTGACGTACAATTTGTAATTACAAAATTACCCCTGTACTGTACCGCGGAGCCGTTGCCACCACACCCCCAACCCACAACATAAGGAAACTACCACACGATTGGACAGATGCTTCCGCTCCACTCCGCTCGCGAGCTTTGCTACACTGGCTCGCTCCGTTCCGCTTTAGCATCTGTCCCTTATCTGGTATATGAGGCATACCTAACACTATGGATATTTTATTTTGATAATTAGGCACTTTAAGATTAAAAATTACGTAAAGATCTGTACTCCCTTCGGACTTTTTGTGACATGTTAATTGCCCCTTCATTTTTATTAGAACATAAAAATGAATGTTCTTCTCTAACAAGTTCTGAAGATTTGCTCTTTTTATCCTCTATAAATTTCCATAAATCCCCATATTATGCTTAGAAGCGGTTAAACGTTTTCTAATTTAATAATTACATTGTACAATATAACTTGAACAAATTATATGTTATTGTTTTATTGATAGCGTCAAGTGATGGTGATGATGTCCCTCATAAATTAATTATATTTATTTTTAAATGAAAATTAGCTGAAGATCCATCACCATCTCGCCAATCTTATCATTAGTATTATTTCGCTAGTATTTACACTAATCTACCATTTAACACCATTCCATATTTTCCCATATCAGCCACTGCCTCACATAAGCTATAATCAACCCAACCACTATCATACACGATCACCACCACCACCACCATCATGTCATGCTAGACTATGGAATCTAAGCATGCAAGAACCTTCAGATGAAGATGACCCATCTATTTCATGTACTTATATTAAGCTTATAACTAAGAGCAAATATGATACTCTATATTTATCATAGATTTCTATTGAGATCCACATTACATAATTTAGAGAATTTGATATAACATGCTTTTAATTTTCATGGACCATAATAATGTATTTGTAATGAGTCTAATTTTATTTACTTTATGTTACATAAAAAATTTCGGTGGTTGTCAAAGTATAGAAGTAGGATTAGGCCAATGCTTGAGAAATATGATACAACTCATTTATGCAATATATCTATTGATAATTACATGTATAGGCAAATGCCCTTTTAGATTGGAGATGAAGAATGAGCAAATTTGTGGTGAGCCTGAGGAGGCTATGAGGATTTTTTGTAAGTGAAAAGAAATATATCGAATTTGAGCATCTAATTATGGGGCCATCGTAGACACGTAGTTTTGCATGTTGACTATATGAAGAGACTGAAAAATCACAAGTCATGTGTACCATGAAAATTTGTAATTACTATTCACTAGTTTTAGAAGTATATTTATAGAGTAATATTCGAAAGAGATTCGACATTCGTGGAACAACAAAGTATAACACATCAACTCTAGAAGGGCCATTAGTTGGTAGAAGCTAGATTACAACGAGCCTATGTAATCATACAAACATTTTTGAATTATTACCAATTTAAAATTATAATCTCTCTTAATTGCATCTTGACATTTCATTGGACGATGTTATAAAGCAAAGGCAAAAAAAGAGTCAAATATTTGTAGGCTAAGGAAGTTCGAGTTGGCATTCTAATTAGTCAAAGCCTATTATATGGAGACAAGATTTTGGAGAAAATGAAAGTATGAATGTATGGGTTAAATGGGTAAGAATTGACTCATGATGCACCACATTCTTGCTTTTGAGATGGAGTTCATTCCGTCATTGTGCTGGTCAAAACGTAGGCGATTGAAGTTGCTGAAGAAATGGAGACAAACTAGAAACACTACAACACAAACGACAGAGGAACCAGCAATAAAAAGAGAATTGAAGGAAGAAGAAAAGGATGAAGAGATGAAAGAAGCGTATGTTTTCTTATGTAGGTTTTCTTATATTTAACAAATATTTATAGTATTTTATCTCATTAAATTGCAATGATAATGATGTATATGTATTTTTGTTTAGTTCGGTATGTCTACTATAAAATTATGGTCAAATTTTACATTTATTAAGTAATTGTGAAACTGAGAAAATTATAACATTTTTTATGTAGGTGCGATTGTTGTAAGAAATGCAAAGAAGCAACGTATATAATATTTTTTTTTCGAGCATAGGTCTTTGATGGATTTTTGGCTTATTTTCTACTACAAAGATTGATATTAAGCACGACAATAGAATGGGCAGCCCCATAAAATTTTCAATTCGATATAATCTTTGCTAGTAAATGTCACCAAGACTTTCAAATGACTTGTCCATTTGAAATCCGCCAGAAGAGTACTAAAAAAATTTCTTGAGCATTCCAACTTTCTGAAAATATTTCTAATAAAACAATAGAACTAACTATTAGAAACCTTGTGTTAGTTCTATTGTTTTATTGATATATACACAAGGCTGTAATCGAGCCCGAGTCAAGTCGTGAAAGCCATTTTTTGGACTTGCCTTGGATGAATTATAAGTTTTTCACATTCAGTTCAAGCCTGATAGAAATTTTACATACATGTTAATACTTGGCTTTGCTTAAAAATTTTTATTTCTATACTTGATTTGTATTTGGTTTTCTTATATTAATTGAAAAGTTAAAAATTTGAATGAGTATTTAGCTTTTTATATAAAATTAAAATTTAAGTTTTTTTCATTTTACTTTTTATAGAAAACTAGTAAACAAGTTACAAATTTGAATCACTACTTGATGTTTTGAATTACTATTTGAAGTCCTTTTAAATGAAAAAATGACAAGAATCAAAGAAATATTAATTAAAAAAAAATTCATATGAAGGGACAATTTTATCATGTGTTTCATGTGACAACACATATTGCCATATGGCACAATGATTTTATCAATTTTGCTAATTTTTTTTAATTTGTAAAAATTTAAAATAAAACATATATATATTTTTAATTTGTCCTTATATTTCCCCCATTTGCTATATTTTATTCTTTATTTTACTTTTTTTAAAGAATTTCTCCCACTTGTTATAAAGATATGTTAGTATACTCTTTTAAATCATATAAAGAATGACATTTCTCAAATAAGACATTCGATTATATTACATATACATAATAAATAGATTAATCTCGTTTTTTTTCTTCATTGCAATGGTTCAGCTATCCATACTTTATACTTAGTCAACAAATGTAAATAAATATTGAAGCTTTAATGAACTTCTCAAAGATTTATAGCGGCACTACAATGACTTAATTATTTTTATTTCAATTATTCGTTAGAACTCCATTCCAATTCAATTTCTATATTTGAATCAGATAAAATCAAAATTATTAAATATTTCAAAATATCAAGAATAATATATTTAATATTTCACTTCCACTAGGAGTCAGAAAATTTGATTGTAGATTTTTCTATATTAGGCTAGTATATTCTCCACATATATATTTATTTTATGAAGCATGTTGTTCACTTTGGAATAACAAAGGTAGCCGTTAAGCAGCACTTTAAATTGCCAGTATTGGAGAGAATATTAAATATGGAATTCACGTGCATTAGGATTAAATGTACAACAATTTTATATAATATTGTACATATAAGTACAACAATATACAATATTGTTGTACAGGAAGTCCGCATGTACGCAGATTCCATATATAATAATTGTACCTACAATTGAGGACATCTATAGTTATTTTTGAATTATATTATGATTTAAACCCATTAAATAAGAACAAATTAATTTTATAATCACCATACACCTATCCTAATTCGAATATATACTTATCACATTCATTTAAACACCTCCAAGTTGTCACCATGTGTCCCTTAGCATAAATTGAAAAACTGACCAACTAGCAAAATTCCATATTTATTTAATTTTACATTGAAATCGCTAAAAAAAACAAAAAGAAATGAAACATCGAACATCAAGGGAAAACAGTAGCTGGATTAGCTAATACAGTAAGTGGCACCTTCCTGTGGCTCACCATCCTAAACTTCTCAGTCATATCCATTTCCTCGCTGCTCATCCCGTCCGGCAGCTCCCATTCAAATTTATACAAAAGATTAGCAAGCGCAAGCTTAATCACCGCCACACCAAGCCCCATGCCCGGACAAATCCTTCGTCCAGCACCAAATGGAATGAACTCAAAGTTAGTCCCCTTGAAGTCAACATCAGCCTTCTTCTCGAACCGCTCCGGTCGAAATTCCTCAGAATCCTCGCCCCAATATTTTGGCTCCCTTGCGACGGCCCAAGCGTTGACAAAAACTCTTGTTTTTGCAGGAATATGATAGTTATAGATCTTCGTGTCTTTGGTGCATTCACGTGGGAGAAGTAATGGGCCGGGAGGATGAAGCCGGAGGGTCTCTTTAACTACATTGTGTAGATATGGGAGGTGTTGAAGGTCAGCTTCTTCAACCTTTCCTTTTTCTTTGACTACTTGCCGGACCTCGTCTTGCACCTTGCGCATGGATTTAGGGTTCTTAAGCAACTCGGCCATAGCCCACTCCATGATCATTGCGGATGGATCGGTACCCGCTAAAAAGAAGTTCTGCAAATATGCAAACAACAGCAAATATGTAAAAATTAGATTTTTGAATGATCATTTCAGAAGAATGCTTGTTCTTTATATTTATAGCTTTGTGGTTGAAAAAGCCATGCCTTTTAAATCATTTAAATTTATAGAATAAAATATTAAGAAGTTCATGAACTGAGCAAAAAATAAATTTTTGTATAAAATAGTTAAGAGGAGACTGACCATGAGAATTGCTTTGATGGTGTCCCTGGTGAGCATGAACCCTACAGCATCGTTCACCTTCTCTTGGCTTTTCAGAAGAATATCAAGGAAGCAATCATCAGCAATAATATTTTCTCCTACAATACTATTCTCCTTCTTCTGACCTCTTAACTTCATCCTTTCCTCTATCTCCTGTTCGAAGACCCGATCCATAGCCCGAAACTTCTTCTCCATTCCTCCTCGCCGGCCCGAGAGCCGATCTAGCCAAGCCAAAGAAGGGAAAAAATCACCAACGCATAACTCCGATGTGAGGGCGACTATCTCCATGATCATCTCATGGTGCTGACTCCTCCCACAGTCTTCAGCCACGACCGATATCCGCTTACCAAACACAAGCCTGTATATCATATTGTTGAGGAGGCAGAGCATCATGGTGCTCAAGTTGAACGCATTTCCGCTGGCTGACGCCTTGGATATGGTCTTAATCAGAGCTCCAACTTCTTCTTCACGAATGGCTTTGAATGACTGGTAAATGAGAAATGGAAGATGGATTTTTTGTTATTAAGGAAAAAAAACAGAAAATAATTACAAATAAAGATAATCTATGCCGTGGGGGTGCAAGTGAGTCAAGCCGAATCCTCCCCATAAATAACTCAGTGAACTAAATTTTATGAGCTAATAAGCTAAGTTCAAGATAGTCCCGACTCAACTCATCGGCTTGTAAGAGGACTAGTTTTAAAAAATATTAATATAAAATATATTCAAAATATAATAAATTTTAGGACTTTATCATTAATGTATTAAAAATTCTTAAAAATAAATATATTATATTTTATATTAAAAGAATTCTTATTATTCATTATTTATGTCATTTTATTATAACATTACTTTAAATTTATTTTATTTTTTATTTTTTATAAGGTGAGCTGATTCGAATTTTTAGACTTAAGCTCGAATTCGATAAAAAAATTTAAGCTCAAATTTTAATTAAAAGTAGCTCAAATTCGACTCGACTCATTTACACTTTTAATGAGCATAAAAATTGTATATTTATTTAAAATAACCTCTTAATAATCAGAAATCGGGCCCTAAGAGAAAGAAAGAAGTTAGTTATGACCTCCACTCTGGAGGCGCTGAAGACCTCAGTGTTAGCAAACCGCCTAATGCAGCGCCAGTGATCATCGTGAGGGGAGAACGCGATGTCGAGACCGCCGTAGGAAAAGCGGTGGGTGGTTTCAAAGGGCGGGCGGCTACAGAAGACAATATCCTGCCTCTTGAGGATCTCGGCGGCGGCGTCCGGCGAAGAGACGATGATGGTGGGGGCTTGACCGAGCTTGAAGTAGACGAGGGGGCCATACTTCTCGGATATTCGTCGAAAGATTACGTGAGGGAGATGGCCGACGAGCTGGTGGAGATTGCCGATGAAGGGTAGTGGCCGTGGACCCGGAGGAACTCTCCGGCGAAGATTCAATAACTTCTGTTGTCTATGAAGAGTGGCCTGTATTGTGAAGAGGAGGACAAGGAGGAAGAAGGGAATCAATAGCAGCATCATTACTAGTCGATCAGATGCTCTACTATTCCCAACTTTTTCCTTGAAGATTGGATTTTGCTCAATCTGGTAAGATTTTACATGTATATATAGTCGGCCGGCCGCCACTCTGCTGTTTTCTTTCTTATTTATATCGGACAGACGACAAGGAAGAATCTAGCCATGCTATTCTAGAGATCCGTAAAGAATAATCATGATTTCATGGCTTCATTGGGTATGTTGGAGTAAAATATTATTTAGAAGAATTTTACAGCCATACCACGCAATACTTATCTAAAACACCTAATGTTTAATATTTACATATTATAATGAACATTTCGCGCTTAAAAAGTTTGGGCTTATTATCACTTTTTTCTCCTTTTTGTTATTTATTATTATTTTTGTTTTAATTTAAAAAATAAATTTGCTTTGTGAATTATTCTGCATCTTTTTATTTCTTAATTATTAAAAATAAAGAAGGCTAATTTTTAAAATTTTCAAATTTTTTAAAATTTATTTTGAGTATTTTTAACAATAAGTAAGCAAATATATTTTTTTCAAGTACAAGATATAAAAAAAAAAACAAAAAAACATTAAAAATGATTTCAAACAACTCTCGCTCACTGATAGTCACGATCTACATAAAATAGCTATTTCAACCATCATGATTCCCAACGTCGTATAAGAAACTTGTCTATACATAAACGGCTTTGTAATCTACAATAAATATATGTCAAATGGAATACAACTGTTATTTTGCTTAATATAATTCTCAGCCAAAGTAACTTCTTAATGCAATTCAACTAATTGTCTTTGCTTCATGGTAAAAGAGCCTTTTAGAATTTATTCTTTATTTACTATCTTTTCCACTCGTCCAATTGTCAAGCCAGCATCACGCACACTTCCTCCATTCCTACCACCCTCCCCATCCCTCCAACTCTGAGGCTTCTTCTCTCCAATATGAAAACAATAGCCCAAACAACTCGCCATGGACAATTTCCTAATTTGGAGTGCGAACATTCTCGAACTTTTCAAGACAAATGGATTTGATAGTTTCTTGACTAGATCATATCATTCTCTTATTCAATATCCACAAGACAACGATGGTAATCCTGCTCTAAATATAGATTATGTTGCCTGAAAATTGGTTCATCAAAATATCGCCGTTAACCTTAGACTCGACCATCTTTTAAGAATACATTGGGTTGTCGATGGACCTGTAAGACAAAATACAACTCTAATGACTTGATAGCATGCTAAAAAGGTCGTGTAGTGGCATAAGGATACAAGTAGAAATAAGGCATCGACTATGAAGCTCCTTAAGCCTTGTGACAAAAATGCCCACCATCCACATATTACAAAAATGCCCACCATCCACATATTACAAATAATTGCTTTCTCAAATAAATGAAATTTTTTTCAACTAAAAGTATGAAATGCCTTCCTGCATGGTCGATTGGATAACATGGTGTACATGAAATAACTGTTAGAGTTCCATAGTCAATCAAACCAATCAGATTGGGGATAGTCGATCGATCGAGCTGATGAAAGTGGTCGATCGGGCCAGCGTGGAGAGCCAATTGACGGAAAAGGGTTGATCGAACCGATCTGACCGGCATAGGTCGATCTGATTGTTGTTGGCGACAGATTGAAATGCATGCGAAAATGAGTATTTTTTATGAACTTTTAAAATCATGTCATTTGCACAATCATATGAATGCAAAAAAATGCATAACAAAATGCCCAATCGATTTTGGCGACAAAATATGGCTCATCCTAGCGTTCTCATGAGAAACCTGGGGTAGGCGAGTGATGGAGAGGTATACCAACGCTTTATTACATGAAGCAACAAGAGGCCCACATCCATTTGCACTACACAAGTGAAGAAATCTCTCACGAGGAGAATTCTCTATTATCGAGAAGACGATGACTGAAGGAAATCCTTCAACTTTTTGATCAGTGGATTTCAAACAACCATCCGAATGAAATTACTATAGCAAGCGGTGGGATTAGTACAACACCAATTTTTTTTGGGCTAAAAGGGGGTAGGTTTTACCCTTTGGATTCACAGGAGAAATGCAAAGCATTTAATCCTATGGAGCTTCCTCTAAGCACAAAAAGATTAATCTAAATCCTCTAACATCTAGAACTAGGTCCCCTAGAAAAGAAACATGCAAGAATTTATGAGTTGACTCACCACTGTGAAGGTTAAGGACGCGCTCACTTCCTGCGAAGCTTCGGCGATGTTCGCTCTGCTCCTTCCGAAAGAAATGTATAAGCTATCATGTATGATGAGAGTCCGATGAAGTTCCGATGGAATTTTAAGCTCCGGCGGAATTCTAAGCTCCAATAAAGTTCTGACGAAGCTCTACTGATCCTTCCCCAAAGTATGAGCTCTCCATCACCGTAAGAGAGAAGACACCTTGCCCTCTTTGTTAGCCAAGCTCCTCCTAAAGAAAGCCTCACACACACTCAAGGAAAGTGGTGGAGAAAGAGGAAGAAGGTTTTCTTGGTAGGAAATTAGGGAGAAGATAAAGAAGGAGGAGGAGGTTGTAGGAAGCCAACATCTTCACCACAAGACCTTCTTAAGGAAAACCCTAGTTTTTTCTCCAACAAGAAGAGGAATAAGAAGCAGTTCCACGCCTTCTCTAGGATGCCAAAATTGCTGAAGATGGATTCTTTGGACAAATTGGAAGAAAAGACAATACCTCAAACTTCACCCCTCTTTTTGCCAAAAATGGTTTGCCACCTCTTCGAAGCTTCCAAAAGGGGTTCAATCATCCCTTTATCTCCCCCAGGGAAATCTCCCCATGTACTAAGAAATCCTTGCAATTTCAAGTGCCTAGGGGCTTGGTTCGTGATGAAATTCGTGGGATAAAACAAAGGGGAATGTGGATTGGTGCCTACTTCCCCAGAGCTCAAGAAAATATTATTTCAGTGTGATTTTGGCGACCTAAGCACCCGGGGCCTAGCCCCAAAAACTCTGATTTTCTTTGAAACCGTACGATAAAGGATTTGTTTATATCCAAAAGCTATGGGGGATCAAATATGACAAAAATTAAGTCTCATAACCTTGAAGACAAGTATTTTTATGGGTATTGTATCAAAGATTCTTGCAACGATGGGAGCCCTAAATCATCACGAGGGTACAGCGTTCTGAACCCTAATCTCCTTGGTACGTCTACGGGAAGCCTTGATGGGTTCCTTTGTCCATAGGAGACTCCACATGGATATGACATGGTCTTTAAACACAATAATGGATGTCTAATATGTCATGTGTCCTGATGAGCCTGTCCAATGGTGGATTCTCCTAGGCAAGGTCAAATCATTGTGGACGATGGTTTCATGCCTCAAACATACACCAGGAAGACTTAGATGGGTGTCTTGAGCTATGGGATGCTATAAATGAGTAGTGAGTAATCTTGAGTCAATCAAGTGGACACCTTACACATCTGACAACAAAAATTGATGCCAACAAGGACACTGTGATAGAAGGTTTGTTAAGTTAGGACTAGGGTGCTAGGTAGTATTTTTGATGTCTTGGATATAACTCTTTGTTGATTTGGTTTCCCTAGCCAGACATCACATTTTGTGTTGCTTTTGTGTGGTTTTCAGGTATGAGACATACACACTAGTAAGTTAGGAGAAGTCATCTTTTATGGAGCCATGCACAACAAAGAAGAACTGTAATGATTTATGCAAAAAATTTTTCTGCAAGTGTTATTTAGCTTCCCTCCCGCTGGGCATGATTCAATACATTGTATGTAGATAGATTTTTGTTAATGTGATTTTCAAGTAGGTTAATTCTCTTTTTTGAACTTTAATATGGACTTTTTAAAGTTCTAGGAGAGTCTTGTAGCAGAAAATGGGCACAAGTTATGAGGCTCTTGAGGTGTAGAACCATGTTGCAGAGATCAGGAGCAGATGTTCATGTCCTGTGTCTTAATTTTGCATTCTTTTAATGTATGGCATTTAGGATCAGATATGTAAATGTAGTGTCTGACCGTCCTTTTTTTATTTTCTGGGATATGTTGCAAACTCAGCTACACCCAGCTTGTTATTATTTTATTTTGGATTGCTTTACTCTCCATGTATTGTGTGCTTGCCTTTTTGATGTTATTTGATTGTGGTTTATTTACGAATCTTGCACTATAATTTAGGCTCTTAAGAACACGAATATTGTAATTAATTTTTCTAAAAAAAATTTTAATAAAAGATTAAGATAAATCAAAATTTAGGATTAAAATATTTTGAAGATTTTAAAACCTGTATTTTACTTTTTGCATGGTCTTCTGGTTGGAATTAAAAAAGTTTAAATGACATGGACATATCCCAAGTCATATAATAGCGCCCCCCACC